TCCGTTTTTAATATATTAAAACCTTTGATGCCTGTAAAACAACAGGAAAGAGTAAGTCAAATAAAATTAATTTAAAAGAATCAAATTTTAATTATTTAAGTACCTTAGCTTTATGTACATGGTGACAATCTGGAGGAACTTTACAAGCATATACCACAAAAATATTTACCCAAAGAATATGGTGGAGAAAATGGATCAATCGAACAAATCATAGCTGATTCTGTAAAAATCTTCTTAGAGTATAGAGATTATTTAATAGAAGATTTAAAGTACGGCGTCGATGAAAATTTACGCTCTGAAAAATCTGTTGACTATGATAATATTTTTGGTGTAGAAGGCTCTTTCAGAAAACTTATTGTAGATTAATATGAAATGTTATTTCTTTTATAAATCAAAATATTTATATGTAATATAACAATTCAATTAAAAATAAGTGTTTTTATTTTCTCTCTAGTTCTACAAATGCAAACATATAGCTTATTTAATGATGGCACAGGATTATATTGAAAGTATTAAAGGTATTTTATAATAAAAATAATTATTTTAAACAGTTTCATATTTCTAAATAAAAGTCCTTAATATTTCATTCAAAAGAAAATAAAAAAAGCACCAAGTCTATATAGCAAACTGTATATTAAAAATTATTAAAAAATTACATTTGACACTCAATTTTATAGTCCAATAACATACATTTTATTACGAATTCTTTTGTGCTAATTTTACAATAACACTCTTCACTTCAGTGTAATTCTTTAAAGCATATTCGCCATTTTCACGTCCATGTCCAGACATCTTGTAACCACCAAAAGGTACTTGTGCACTTAAAACATTGTATGCATTCACCCATACGGTACCGGCACGCAATCCCTGTACAATGTAATTTGCCTTATCAATATCCTTTGTGAAAACTGCAGCAGCCAATCCATAATCAGATTTATTAGCACGTTCAATCACTTCGTCCAATTTTTTGAAGCGTATTATTTGTTGTACTGGTCCAAAAATTTCTTCACGTGCAATTGTCATATCATCTTGGACATCAGCAAAAACTGTAGGTTCCACAAAATAACCAGGTAAACTTTCTGGTCGATTGCCGCCAGCAACTAGTTTAGCACCTTGTTCTTTACCCGTTTTTATTAAACCAAGAATTTTGTGCATTTGTTCTGCATTGATTTGTGGACCTTGCTCAATATTTGCATCGAATGGATTACCCATGGTACGTTTTTTAGCACGTTCTGCACTTCGCTCTACGAATTCATCATAAATTTTATCCTCGACAAAAGTACGTGAACCAGCACAACAACATTGGCCCATATTGAAGAAAAGACCAAAGTGGGATGTTTCTACGGCATAGTCCATATCACTATCTGATAGAATAATATTTGGACTTTTGCCACCTAATTCCAGTGTAACACGTTTCAAATTTGTAGCACCCGAAGCTTGTTGTATTAATTTACCAACATCAGTTGAACCAGTAAATGCCACTTTATCTACATCGGTGTGTTGTGATAGAGCTGCACCAGCATCACCAAAACCTGGTACAACGTTGACAACTCCTTCTGGGAAACCTGCTTCCTTAAGAAGTTGTGCCATATATAAAGCAGTTAAACTTGTTTGCTCAGCTGGTTTTAAAACGATTGTATTGCCTGTAGCTAGTGCTGGTCCTAATTTCCAAGCCATCATCAATAAAGGGAAATTCCAGGGTATAATTTGAGCACAAACACCAACTGGTTCATGGCGTGTATAAGCAAAATAATCACCATCTAAAGGTATTGTTTGTCCATGGTTCTTATCGGCCCAACCGGCATAATAGCGTAAAGATTTAATAGACATAGGTACGTCAGCATTGTATGACATAGCAAATGGCTTGCCATTATCCAATGTTTCCAAGCTCTTTATATAAATAAAAGAATACGTTAATATATAGTTCAACATTACATTTTTCATTGATATATTTATACTTACTGCTAAATACGTACGATCACGTTCCATTAGATCAGCCAAGCGATATATCAGCTCACCGCGCCTTGAAGCATCCATACGACGCCATGGAGAACCCAATCTATAAAAAGGGATAAATGATTAAATGAGAAGAAAATTGAAATACTTACTAATGTTTGTAATGATCTTGAACTCACTTGAAAGCATTACGTGCAGCTTGAACCGCTATATCTATATCCTCTTTCCCAGCACATTGAATTTCAGCAATATTTTGGGCAGTAGTTGGGTTAACGCTAGGAAAAGTTTTCCCAGACTTACTTCTGTGCCATTCATTATTAATGAAAATCTTAAAAAAACAAGTGAAGATTGAAGAGTTATTTTTATGATTATTTAATTTAATTGTGGTAAAGAAAATTGTAAAGGAAATCTAAATAGAAATATGAAAGGTGTATAAAATTTATAACAGAATCAAATTGAATTAGTTATTATTTTAGTGGCATCAACAATTCTTGAAGAAAAGGGAACAAAGGCTATATAGTTATTATCAAATACTTAAGAAAATCTGAAAAATAATATATTCTTGTATGCAAAGTATTGAAAAAAAGATACTGCCTTCATATCTAAACATAAATAATGTATAATTATTTTAATATTATTTTTCGTTACGGCCTAAAAAAGGAAGATCAATTTCATTTTATCTAAATGTAGAGGAAATATGTAAAGCTAAAAACGTGTATAACCACTAAAAATCATCACTAAAAATTATAAATAAATGGTGATCAAAAACGCAATGTAGATGTCTTAGAAACTCACATATACTCATACATATATTTCTATAACTTTATATTTAATTCTAATAACCTCAAATTTAATAGTTGTAATTATAGCTTACCGAATCTATAGAGAATAAAAACGCAAACGAAATTTATTCCTCAATAAAAGTTGTAAAATTGTCTAAAACAAATTATACATACTACCATATATTACCATAATAAATATATAAATAAATATATTTCATATATTTCAAAATAATGAGACAACAAAATTGTTTGTTTACATTATTGGCGATACTTTAACAATAAAAAATGTTTACGATGGTTTAATGTGAGCCATTAGAGTAATTTACATTTCATATAGGTGGTTTTGCCTTCAGACACGCTATCACCACATCATATCTACACATATATATTATAATATAAATATATATACGAATACATATGCACCTGACAATAAATTTCCATTCAAAAAATGATTAGATGAGAATGATAAGATAGATATCTACAACGATTAATAACTTATCTTCAAAATAAAGTCTATTTTAGTAAATAATAAAGTTTGGCGCCATATAAAAATTAATTGTAAACTGTTTATTTCAGAGTATTTGATTAATTATTTTATATAAGGTGACTACAATATATTTGCTTATAAATTTAATATATAAACAATTACAATAAATTTACTGGAATAGTTTATAAAAGAAATTTAGATTTAATCAATACCTTTCTATGTTTAAATTATAGAACACTATAAAATTTTATAAGACCAAATATTTTCTGACAATATCTAATTATTTTATTATTCACACATATTATATATAATATTATATTTCGCTTATAATATATAAGTTAAATATAATTTAAAAAAAAACACTTCTAATACTAAACCAATTCTAAACTTATATTTGCGAAATTAACACCTTTACTTCACTAACTCATACGTTCAATGCTCAACTTAAATCAAAGATATGTGTACATTAAACAGCTGAGCTGTTATCTAATCAACGAGGCAAAAACTAGGAAACAAAAATAGTGCGAGATAGTAGCATTAATAGTATCACAAACAATATAACAAATATCCGTATAAGCATTATTAGTGTCAAAATAAATATGTTATTAATATTACATAAAATATAATCTAAAATAAATTTTCCATACAGTAATATAACTAGTTTTTATTTATTTGCTACTTATTATACATGTATTATTATTTTTACAAATATGCTTCTTTGTAGTTATTTAGTGCTTTAATTGCTACAAATACTAAGCACTCGGTTCTAGGTATGCGCAGAGCACTTAAAATGCGTCATTCAAGAGTCATTCAACAAAATATTACTTATATAGATATATTGATTCCAGAAGTGAACTTATCTGTGTCTTAAAACTATTCGTCTAATATGACCAACCAGTCATCCGTCGCACTCACTACCCCCGTAAAAGTTTCATAGTTACTGCCAACAAAACATATGTGTTTATAGTCGCCAGTCGAGTAATAAAAACGTATGTTTTTTTTCAACTTTCCGTAATACATAATTATAATAATTTTTATATTTTTTAATAGTAATGAATTAACATAAAATTTTTAATTTTAATTAATTGAATTTCTTACTGACCATACAGCTGTTTTGAGTTTTTCCAAGTACCCATCATCAGTAGTCTTTTTTGTAGTATATTTTATATATCATAATACTTAAGGCCGTGCGCGAGTTCGAGTAAATTGAGGTAAAATAAATTGAAATTTCCTAGAGATTTTTTGCATTGCACGTATGCAAATATTTATTTATTTATTTATTTATTGCACTTATTAATTATTTTTGGATTAAAAAATTGTATACAATTTTTACAATGGTAACACCTAATTTACCTAATTTTTATCTCGAAATTCTGGTAAATACTAACAACCGCTGCCATAACTACATAATTTACTATTTCCCTCAATTTACTCGAACTCGCACACGGCCGTAAGTATAATTATTAAGTATAATTATATATACATATGTATATATTGCTGTAACCAGTTAAACTAAATATTATTAATTTTATTAATAAATTAACAATAGATTAAAAAAATTTTTTTTTTAATTATAAATTATTTTTAATAATAATTTTGTAATATTATTATTAAAAATATTATTAGAATTAATATTATAAAATTATTAATTAATAAAAGAAGTTATTTGTAATAGTTATTTAAATAATAAATAAATAAAATTATATATAAATAATTTTAACGTTTTGCATTAAAAAAAACTATCTTTTTTTCCAAAAGCTTTAACTGATAACATTGATTATCTTTCAATTTATTTGAAAACAACACACAAACAAACACACACGCATATTCCAAATAGAAAAACATCAAAACAAATTTCTGCAAGCTTGGCCGGCTGTTTTGTTTTTGTCTTGTTTTCTTCTTTCTCGTTTCTTTGGATAGAGCAATTACGTGCAAAAAAAAAAAACCATACACCGGCAATAAGTACACCAAAAAAGCAAATCAAGGTCAAATTAAACGAGAAGAGAATTTTAAATGCAAATTTAATGGAATTTTATTTGAAATTTTCTTCTAATAAAAAACATTAACATATTTAATAAATAAATACACTGCTTTGTTATATTATGTCAGAATAATTAATTTATGTAAGATTTAACTTACGC